CGTAAATGACCACTGATTTTGATAACAAGTGGTAAAAATTTCTAATAAATTTTTTTAAGAAAATTATTGAAAATAATCTGAAGAAAACTGTTTGGTGCAGAAAATTGTAAACTGGTCAACTGATCAAATCCAAAAACGCGTGAAAATCGTCATTGAGTAAAATTTTCCATCTAATTTTTGATATGACTTCACATTATTATTTAATAATTATTGGATATGCAATCGAAATTTTTTTATAACACCCTGCATTAAAAATATTTAGAATTTTATTTATTGGTATTTTAAATTACAATTAATATGTGTATTTATTCATATATGTACATAAGTATGTGTATTTAACTAGTAATATATATAAATATAATATATGTATGTATGTACATATGGAATAAATTTTTACATATTTTTCTTAATATGTACATACATCCAACAATTATTCAATTCACTAATTCATAAACCATAAAGTAATTTAAAAGAAAAAGAAATATAAAAAATAAATAAAAATAAAAGTATGTAAACTAGAATCTAGTTTGTTATTATGTATATTCATCAGTATATATACCTATATAATAAAATACCTTTTATAAAATCATACCAAAACATTTGAAACCCCATAATGAATAATGGTAACAAAAACAGTAATAACAACAATAATAATAAGTGATAAAAATTGTAATTGGTATGACTCTTAACTTAAAATTAACTCTTATTAACATAGACTACTTTGTTATACATAGATAACATTATTCTAATATAACAATAGGTAAATAAATGGCATATATTACAATGCAATAAGATATCCCACATAAAGACGCTGGTGTACATTTTATAAAACATTGAAAAACAAATTGAATAAATTGTATATAGTTATGAGTTCTAAAACTGGGTTGCATATTATATCTGTTAGCATAAGCACAGATATGAATTCATATAATAGTAAAATAACAATTGTACATACTGCATAATATTTTAATATTCATTTTACTATATCGTAAGATTAATAAATTCTCAACATTATAGAATACTAAAAACAATAAATTGTGTGACTGTTTAAAATTATTTTTTTTCTATCTCGTTTTCTTTTTTACTTCTTATTTTTATTTTTCTATTTTTAATCTATTGTTTGTGTCACGGATCCAATCACCTGTACAATATTAATTTCATGTTTAGATTGAAAGCGAGGAAGTCACTATCAATTATGAGAAAAACGATTAGAATATTCTCAAATTAAATACGAGAATAAAGAAAAAATAAATTATTGTAAATTTTGTATAATAAATTAATGTAAAAATATAAGTATATAATTTTAATTTTTTTAATAATATTTCATTTTTTTTTAGTATAGTTGTACAACATTTGACATATTTTTACTGTCAAGTACAAAGTCTTTTATATTATTTGACATAAAGGTTCAGCCATTATTGACCGCGTTGCATAAAATAATAAAGGTATTGTAATCTTATCAAATTTGGCATGCAGAATTCACGACAGAAATGTATTGCCTTACAGAATAGTAGGAATGCAGCACAATTAATCCTAGCAGGATTGCCTGACAGTTTATTAATTTGCCGGTCTTTGCTACTATTGCCGAATTGATTGTCGCGAAAGTTTATATCTAATTTATTTCTGTGTGTGACAATATGTGATTAACGAATTACGCCAGATCTATTCAAGTAAAAATTTACTAGAGGTCGACTTAAAATTTCAAATAATTTTTATTAATAGAATAATTAATAGATTTGTTGGATATTTTATGTGTTTACAAGGAATGGTCAGCGGTAACAGCAACTGAAACTTTTTATTAAAATTATTTAACGCGTTTACATTATTACCTACACAATTATAAGAAAATAATAAACGAATTTTATAATTCAATTCTGGTAGCCAAAATAACTGAAATCTTGCTATAGAGAATCAGAACAATATTGAATATATTTTAATTTCTCATTTTCTGTTTGCCAAGGAAACTATGCATCTATATCCTCTAGTAAGTCAGTATGTACTAAGAATCAAATTTACACTATTTGAGGTGCTTTATAACTAGAAGGTCATTAGTTTTCTTAAAATTTTAAAGAAATCCATAAAATATATTTTTATTATCGTTTGCATTCCCATAGGCTATATCTTATGAAAGTGAAAATAGGTTCAATGAAATTCCAGAGTTAAATTGGCTAAGGCAGTTCGATCGATCATTTGATGACCACTACAGGTTTTTTTTGTATAGTAGATAACATAAATTTACTAATAGTATGTATGTATATAAGTATGAACGTATAATTTTGGTTAATTATAGGCACTTGAAAAATTTCAAATTGAATATCATATACACGAACCATATTTACATAAAATAACCTCATATCATATTGAGTAATTATTGTTTATGTATGTTAATAGCTATTTTACAACAAGAAATTAAATATCAAAAATACCAATAATGTACCAAAATATAAAATTTAATTGCCCATCATATACGTACATATATGTACATGAGTATACATATTGATGTGCATACATTTGTTGATTTGTAAATATTCTTACTAATATATCACATTTCCATAATTATTTTTTACTTATTAGAAATTTTACAATTTTTATTTCTATTTAATAATTTTCACGAGCCAAAATTAGAAAATTTTTAACCAGATTTGGATATACTCGTACAAATAAATTTAAAATATGTATGTAAATATATATGTAAATATATATGACACATTCGAATAGTATATTATAATAATTATAATATTATATTGTATTTATAAATTATTTATATACATAAAATATAATATTGTTCAAGAGTAATGCATAAAAAAAAAATAATAAACATAAGGCGTATATAGCAATATGATCACGCGTATAGCAAACTTCATTTTAGTACTTAACTTTTTTATTTTTCTAATTTGGTGTTTATAACATTTTTTTCCATTTATATACAGAACTTGTTTTAAGTTAAGGTATTTTACTATATTTTTTTTTCTTTATTTATTCTGAAATGTAATATCAATAACATACATTATGTATTTATAGTTATATATAAACAAGTGCATATTGTTATACTCATACATGTACATACATATAATTTTTGTATAACAATATAGTAATATATATATTTACATAGTCTACGGTTCTCTTATCTTAAATTCCCTTTGCTCATTTACTCTTCAAATATAATTCAATAAGTATGTAAGTATGTATATACATAATTTAAAAAAAAAACAACATTTAGAAATAAAATATAAAACAAGTTTTCATTACAGCTCAAACTGGTATATTAAAAATTTCACCTATATAATATAAAAGTTTTTGGTGTTATGATCAAAATGAAGAAAATTAAAAATTTCGAATTATAACAAACATTTTATTTATTATGCGTTAATTATAATAAAACAGCTACAACTTTTTTGGAGAAATCCCAAACACTTATTATTTTTTAAATATGTGTATATGTACATATATACCAGGAAATACTTTATTTTATTAAATTAAAAAATTTCTTACTTACGTTCTCCACTTATTAACACTCAAAATTCGTATATCATATTAAATTGTTAATCACGTCCATACTTTTTCAAAACTATATATGTAAGAACTTAATTAAATTTCTCTAAAAACAATAATTTTAATACAACCAATAAATTTACTGTTATACCTTATTAAAAATAATAAACAATCTAATTTAATATTAAAATGCTAATGCCTATATACAACTTATTTTAAAATTATTTCTCCTAAACATATGCAAAATCAAAGCTGGGGATTACTAAATGAATAAGTTAATTGAAATTTGTTTCAAAAGTTGTCTTTCATTAGTCTTCTGCAAATCCTATGTGTCTTTTCAATCAAAAGAGTTTTATACAAAACATAATGCATTGGGATTTGGAATGTATTATATAACGTATATTCAAAACTGCTCTGTATTTATTAATATTCATTAAGAAATTTTGCGAGTTTTTTTTGTATATATAACAATTTTTAACTTACAATAATGTAGTGAAATTCTCATGAAGAGCAAACTTAACCCATCTGTACTGACACACATTTACTATATCACATTACCGTTTTGCTATATATATTGAACTTATGAAAATCTCTAATATATCACGTTTCTTTTTTTGATATATGCAACATAATTTTTGAATCCCTTCAATCTAATACTTCAATAAAACAACCCTAAAATTCAATTAGTTTACATTTTATTTTAAATTGATAAAGGAATAATGCACAATTTTATTATATAATCATGACTTTAATCGGCTATGTTTGCTACTGAATGAAAAATTTAAGTATGAAGTTAATATTTTGTTTCCAATTTAAGGAATTTAAATTGTTTCTAAAATTTCACCAAATATTAAACAATTATAATTATCAGGCACCTTACCCGCACTGTAACATATTTGTGTGAAAAACTTACCCCGACTTTTTTACCACAAAGTTGACAGTAAATAAAATTCTTACAAAAAATTTGTATATAAGTATATTAAATTTCTATTTCTATTAATTTTCTACTTTTTCAATTAATATAAAATTTTATGATACCAATTTTATTATAGCTCAGTATTTATAATACATTATTTTATTTAAATAATATTATACGAGTAATATACATATATATCGGTATTTATACACAAACCTTACACATAAATGTATTCTATACAAAATAACTTCACTCTCACTGAAATTAAAATAAAGTATATACATAATATAAGTATGTATGAACGTATATAATGATAATAATGTAGTATTCAACAAGTTGTATTTATTTTTTTAAAGATCACCAGTACTACAGTCAAGTATTTACTATTGTACACCCATAATAAAAACAAAAAATAAGAATAATATAAAAAATACATGTAGAAAAGAAAAAAACAAAAAATAAAATACCTATGTGTACATTCATACATACATACGTACATATTTTTTTATATTACAAGATTTTTTTCTTTTTTGATACACACTAGAGCTATTTGACTCTCAGATCTTTTTAATTCAGTCAGTCATAATTTAAAGCTCGAGATCGATTGACCAAAACGAATATTGTGTGTGTCATGATAAATCGGTATACAAGTGTATACTACGGCAAATACGGAATTTAAAAACAAAAATATATATACATTACATATGTACATACATGTATACACTTATTTATAAAATTCATGTGCATTTATAGGTATATAAGTATATTATATGATTAAATTAAGTGCATAAATCTATTATAGAATAAAATAATTGATAATATTTTGTAAATACAATTATTTAATACGAAAAAATTATCAATCAATATTAAAATTAATTTACTGTTTATTAAAAAGAATTTGAAGAAAATTAAATTAAAAAAAGAAAATTAATAAATTCGAAAATAATTTTTTTGAAATTTTTAATTTTGTATGTTTTTTCGTGTAAAATACGCGTTTCGATTGTATGTGAATGTTTGTTTTGTGTATGTTTATTAATAATTTGTTTAGAAGTTATTAAGGAATTTTAAAATATAATATACAGAAAAATTAAAAGAAATTTTTTAAAAATTAAATCACGTCTTATGTACACATACTTACATACATATTCTAAGTTCAACTTTTTACTTGTTTTTTTTTTTATATTCACGGTTAACACGGTATTCGCACAATATAATCACAATGCTAAAATCCATTAACCATTTATCACCCAGTTGAATTAGTTGAGTAAAACTGGCGACATATTAAACGGTTATAGCTTTTACGGAAAATAAAAAAAATAAAAATATTTTTTAATAATACAAAATAAGAAAATTTATACAAATTATTCACAAAAAAAAATAAAAAAAAAAAAATGAAATAATCAATAATAATATAATAGCATAGTACATAAATTCAAAACAAAAAAAAATTTTTTCTGAAAAGAATATTAAAACAATAAGATGAATAAATCGTAATATTAAGAAAATAACAATAAGATAAAAAAAAAATTCAGAAAAAAATAACTACCATTGAGGTGAAATCAAGATTTATTTTTTTACTGATTTTGTCATTTCAAAAAATAAGCTTTGAATTTTTCAATTCCATTCAATCAGAATTGATTTTGTATAAATTATTCTGAATTTACATATGTATGTATATATTTTTGATAGTTATCGTAAAATTTAAAGCTGCAAACAGAATGAATTCGTTCCGTTACGACATTTTAAGGTGATAACAATCAATACTGCTTAATATTCTTAAACACGTACATTTATACACATATAAAATATAAAATATAAGTGTGAATTGTGATATAAAGCAAAAATACTGCACCGTATATCGAACATATTTGACATAATAATAATGTTATAATATAAATAAATCAACAATTATATTATTTACGTTAAATTCAATTATTTTAAACTTTTAATATGTCAACTCTCATACATATATTACTTCAAAGACAAACGCTATATGAGTTAGTTTATGCTATAAAAATATCAAAATATTGATTTTACTAAATTCTAGCGAAGTTTCTCATTTAGAGTATAGTTGATCTTAATTTTTCGGCCCTAATGATTACTTATATTTTTAATTTTTTTATTGAAATTTCTTAAATAAAACATTGATTTTCTTATTTTAGTAGTGAAAAATGTATACATATATGTAAATATCATTCTAAATTATGCAAGTGTCATTTTAAATTGCCTTTATACAGTAACTAATATCTATTTTTAATTTTATTATCAAACGGAATAATAAGTAATATCTATTTCTGGTTCGGATTGTTTATTTTATATAAAAAATCTGATGCTATAAATTTGATGTTTTTTTGATTATTTTAAAAGGTTCTAAAATTTAAAAACATTAATTTTTATTTTGAAATTTTAATAAAATTTTAAAAAAAAGTATAGATTCGATCGGATTAAATTAGACATAGTGTAAAAATGCACCGCGACTCAAGTAGTGGATTTGTTGCGGGCCCCCCTCGTTCCACCTACTCGTATTACGCCTAAAGTACTACCTCGAGATGTGTCCTTTTAACAAATTCGAGTATCTTATAAGAATCGATTTCTCGTAGCTACCTTGCTCAATAGGACTTAACCACCTATAAAAATGTATATATATATATATATATATTATATACAAAAATTTTGTTTATTTTGAAATTATTGTCAAATTGGACTTTAAACAAATTTTCGTATTAGTTTTAGCTCTATCTGTGTATTCATATTTCAAAAAAATTAGAAAAATTTCTAATCATTTGAATAATTGCTGAATAAAGCATTTAAATTATTAATTTTTGACTAAAATATACGTGTTTAAAATATATGAATGTACACATTATAACCTGCATGAAATAGAAAGTTTTAAATAATTTTCATAAATCTTTACCTATACACAAATGTACAAAAAATAAGAGTCTTAAGTCTAATATTTGAAAATTTCAAATCTTATTTTAATGATTTTGTATATATTATAATCTTCGAAATTCGAAATAATATTATTACGAATTAATTGAAATTTAAAAGAGTAGCCATTTAATTTGTAATTATTAAAATACTTAGATACATAGGTAGTAATGTATGAAGTTATTAATTCCTGAAAGCTTGCAAAGTGGCTGCTATTAAATTTAATTTGAAATTCGAATTTCTATTATTGTTATTGTTACGGTATAATTCCGTCGATTTGATCATCATTGCGTTTGTTATAATTTTGTTTTGTTGACGATCGTTTTACAAAAGGCGTAATGTGATGATAAATTTCGGTATTATTTGTTTTTTTTTTCTTGTTTTTATAATTTTTGCAGTATTCTTCGATCATCAATTGATTTTTTTATTATTTTTTTTTTTAAATTGATTTTTTTCTTTCGTTTGCTCAATTTGTGATTTAATTTTTGTTTTTTTTTTATTTTTCTACGATTTTCATTTAAAATATTTTCAATTGATATACGAATTAAAATTCAAAAAAAAAAATAAAAATTAAAAATTTTGAAATTTTTCTCAAAAATTTTTTGTTTTTTTATTGAAATTTTACTAAACACCACAATTTATTTAAAAAATTTTATGGATTTTTTTTCTTTTTATTATTATTATTATTTATTAGTTTCTTATGGTGTACACAAACAAACATACGTATAGCATACACATACAATCAAATATTAAATTTTAATATTTTTTTCTTCATTTGTTTATTTTTTCAAATAAAATTCCAATTTGTATTTTAAGAGGGTCATTCTAAACGCAAATTATTCGAATTTCATTTTGCACAAAATATTTTTTCTTATTCATAAACTTTTCTTAACAAAATTATTTTGTATATGTAGATTAAATAATAAAAAAGTTTTATTGTGAAAAGTGCAATTTTTTTAAATAAATAAACTTTATTGTTAAATGAGTAAAAACAAAATTTTATAAAATTATTAAAAAATTTTAAAAAATCAATGATTAATGTTATACGTATAATTAATTACAATTATACCACTTTAATGTGGATGTCTCTAAATTCTTTGTTTTTTTTTTATAAGTAAAAGTGCAATTTTAAAAAATCTATGTTTTTTTTATTATAACTTTAATATTTATTTAGAAAAGTTTTGTAATAAACATACTACATACTACATACATATATAGAGGAAAATATATTTTCGCTGTTAAAGGTAAGATTTTTTTGAAATATTATAAAAAATATTTAAGATTTTAATAATATTTATATATTTTAAATTTATTTTATATTTGAAATCGTTTGACTCGATTGTGTCAAAATCGAATGAACATATAAAAATAAACACCTAAATACACCAAATTTTATGGGTATAATATGGACGTAATGGGGTTTGGCGTGAAATTTCTCTCTACTTAATTTCACAAACCAATTTCTATATTTTTTAATATTAACCGGTTTAGCAGTCATAATAATGTTCGATGGCAATCTAATTATTGTTAAATCTATTTAAGAAGATTAAAGAAAATGTTTAATTTATAAGATTTTAGAATAAAACTCAATTTTATAGAAAAAATTTAAACGAATACATTAGGAGAAATTTAGTTCTAAAAGTGAAAATGCATTGTCCATCTCATTTTGGGCGAAATTATGCGTTAACAATTTTTATATAAATAGAACAGCTTTTTATATAAATCGAATAAAATAGAATAGCTGTTTATTAAAGACACTGTTAATTTGATAATAAGTACCCAAAAATATTGGAGCAACTTTTTGAAAAACAATTCATTTAAAATGTCAGTTGCATACTTTTAGGAACAATTTCTTAAAAAAATTTAGTTAAAAATTTTTACTTAAAAATACGAGAATTGAGAATGAGAATTTTGAATTTTGATGGTAACCATAGTCTTAAAATATACGATATTCTTTTATAAGCTATTGCGAATTGTTTTAAATGAGTTTAATGAAATCATTTTGAAAGAAAAACAAATATAGAAAGTTTAATGAACTTTCGAATTGAATGCTCATTAAACTTCTTTTTTTTTCTCTTAAATGGAATAGAATTCACTTTTGTAACTCAAATTTCATATTGTTATATAACGCTTTTAAATACTCTAATATTGACGTTTTTCATTTCCTATTGAAATTTTGGTATTTAAATTGAATACCTTTATATATTTATATAAAATTTTATTCAAATTTTCTATTGATGATAACGGTATATCATAGAAATTTAAGTACCTTAAATTTTAACATTTAAAATCTTTATGATATGCAGGTACTTGAAAATATTTCGAACCTATTTCGGATATGAACACATATGTAATAAAAATATAAATTAACACATTTTAATAAATATTGTAGTTGCCTATCAATTGTTAATAACACTATGAATTTTGATTTGAAATTCATTGTATAAAGAAGAATTTAATTATCTAATTTGATCGATCAACAATAAAATATGTGAGAATAAAAAGATCTTAAATACTTAAAATATTATTTTATTTATTCAAAATTTGATGGACAGAATTTTTTTAAAAAACATTTTTAAATTACTAATCAATGTATATGAATGTGTTTCTATGTACACGCTATGTAGAGCAATAATTTCAATTTTAATGAATATAAAAGAAAAGATTGCTTGTTTTATAAAAGCAATTGCCTGAAGGCATTTTTAATAGAATATAGAGGTATAAGAGTTAAAATACCCAAAATTCATTAACATACAGTTTTTACATAAACATATGATTACATGTATGTATATGTATATAAATATATGTTTTAAATATTAAAGTGAACGTCATTAAAAATTGAAAATATTAAAAAAATATATGATAATTAAATATAAGTACCTTATTCATTTTATTTTATTTAACAATATAAAGAAAATTTTTAAATTATAAACAAAAAAAAAAGTGGTATACAAAAATCTTAATAATATTATTTTTCAAAAAAAAAAAAATACCAAAAAAAAATTTAATTGAGTTCATTAAATAATTGAGATTGTATGCGTTCTTTGATTCTTTACCTTTGCTCTTTTGAAACTTTTGAACTTAGGCTCATTATTATACCCTGCACTTCGTGAAGGGTATATTAACTTTGGTATGGAGTTTGTAACTACTTGAAGGAGTCATCTGCGGTATGGACATATATATATATTCTTGCTCAGCGTAAAATTCTGCGTCGATTTAGACATGTCCGTCTGTCCGTCCGTCCGTCCGTCCGTCCGTCCGTCCGTCCGTCCGTCCGTCCGTCCGTTCGCACGATAACTTAAAAACGAATAATGCAATCGACACCAAACTTTCACAAGTTTTTTCTTTTGTGCCAAGGACGAGCCCTATTGTTATTGGACTAATTCGGACAACGGGTTCGGGTAGCTGCCATACAACTCAAAGAGTTTATTTTAAATATTTCAAAAACTAATAAAGCTATAAATATAAAACTTTGTATACATGTGTCCAATTATATTCTACACATGCTCTAAAAATTATAATGGGATAGCTGCACCGGTTCGGGTGGCTGCCATACAACTCCAACAGCAAATTTTTTATATTCGGCAAAATAATAAAGTCATATTCATGAAACTTGGCAGTCATGTGTCCAATTATAGGTCAAATATACTTCTGAAGTTTTAGAGGAATTGCTTTACAGGTTCGGGTACCTGCCATACAACTCCAGAAGCTAATTTTAAATATTTGGAAAAATAATATAGTCAGATTCATGAAACTTGGCAGTTGGATGTCCGATTATAGATCAGATATATTTATGAAGTTTTAGAGGAATTGCTTGACAGGTTCGGGTACCTGCCATACAACTCCAGAAGCTACTTTTAAATATTTGGAAAAATAATAAAGTCAGATTGATGAAACTTGGCAGTTGTGTGTCCAATTATAGGTCAGACATATTTCTAAAGTTTTAATAGGATTGCTTGACAGGTTCGAGTAGCTCCCATACAAGTCTTAAAGCTTATTCTTAATATTTGGAAAAATAATAAAGTCAGATCCATGAAACTTGGCAGTTGTGTGTCCGATTATAGATCATATATATTTGTGAAGTTTTAGTGGAATTGCTTGACAGGTTCGGGGACTTGCCAAACAACTCCAAAAGCATATTTTAAATATTTGGAAAAATAATAAAGTCAGATTCATGATACTTGGCAGTTGTGTGTCCGATTGTAGATCAGATATATTTGTGAAGTTTTAGTGTAATTGCTTGACAGGTTCGGGGACTTGCCAAACAACTCCAAAAGCTAATTTTAAATATTTGGAAAAATTATAAAGTCAGATTCATGAAACTTGGCAGTCGGATGTCCAATTATAGGTCAGACATATCCATGAAGTTTCTATAGAATTACTTCACAGGTTCGAGTAATTGCTACACAATAACGAAAGGTGCAGGGTATTATTCAATCGGTTTATACCGACTGAAACGTTTTTACTTGTTTTTAATTATATTTTGGGTACAGATTTATAAATTTGTGCATACATACATACATGTGTTCTAAATTTAAAACATCATATAATAAAATCTTGTGAAAGGGCTCTTTGTTAAAGTGTATTTCTTTAAAATTAGGCTGTTAATTCTTAAATTTATTTAATTAATTACAGAACTGAATTCTTTCACACAAAGAGTCTCCTCTAATATTCAATACTTATGCATCTATTCAATTATTAATTTATTATTTCAAATGACTTGCAAATATCGGATCTTTAGTCTGTGCATTATATGTGAAGCTTAATGGTAATAAAAAAGCTATAAGAAGGTCGAGAATAACGTATATATAATTTAAGAATATAGAATAATTTAGAAATAAAAAAATAAAAAAATAGGAAATTCGAAATTAATAACCAACAAAAAATACTGATATTTTTTTTTAAATTAAAGGAAAACTTTAATTTTAGTGCTATAATTTATAAATAATTTATTAAGGTGAGAAAAAAATAACAATTAAGAGTCCACAACATTCTTACTGAGTGATCCTTGAATGAAAAAATATTGTTTGCATACCCTGTAACGCTGACAACCGTCTCATGGCTGGTAAAGACATTAAGACAAGAACAAAATACCCTAATAAATCCAGAATATTATATATGTATGTTTTTTCTATATCTATTCAATATAGATCTAGGGATCTGCAAAATGGGAAATTGATTCTTAAATAATCAAAAAATAATAAAAATAATCAAAAGAGCAGACTTTATTCAGCAAAATCCTTTAGTTAAATATTTTGTAAATTTTTTCTTCTTTTTGGTACTATTCTTTCATATTTAGTCTAGATACTAATTTATTTAAAAAATATACTATTTAACTCATCAACGAATATGCTATATTTTAATAAGAATACAAATATTTCTCTGAAACACAAAAATTATATTGATCAAATCAAATAACAATTTGGCAAGTCAAAGATAAATTAAATTAAATATCTTTATTCTATAATCTAACTAATTAGAATTTATTTCTCAGCATGTTTTCTATAAATATGAGAGCATCAATAAAGTTAATTTTCAATTTAAGAAAAATTTCAATTGAATAAAAAAAGAAATCTAGACCACCATCATGTTGACTTTTTTATCAAATTCAATTTGATTTTTGTCATTTAACTAGAGATTTCTGATGTCAATATTCATCAATTTTAATAAAATTTTATATTAAGCATATTATATATAAAAAAATAAGTATTGAATAATAAGAAAATCTAATTTAACATATAAACTAAATTTAGAATCTAGATCTTTAATATTATTATAATAAAATTTAAAAATATTTTTAAGTTTTTCCAATAAAATTCTTTAATATTTCAATAATATAAATTTATATACGCAGTATGTGGTTTCTTCTATATTTTTATATGTATATTTTATCTAATTCTATATGTAGTCCAATTTAAATTCTTATTTATAGTATATAAGGTTAATGAATCTACTGTTTTAATTCTAATCATAAAATACTTGTATTTTATACGGAAGTTATATTTTTTATTTTGGTTTTTTGTTATACCCCGGTAAAATAGAATATATGGAATACAGGGTGATTACATGTAAAGAGTACAACATTCTATATATACGTAAGTACGAAAGATGTCAAAGCGCAACAGTTTCCCAAATAACAGGAAATTCAAGAAAAATTCGCAATATTTCTTGTTTGCATTTCTTCAATTAATCTATACATTCCCGACAGAATCGAACTTTCAAATATGAAAAAAATTCGAAAACA